ACTTCGCCTCTTAACTCCAATTTGAAGTCATTCCCAAACTTATCTAATATTTGTTTTGTGGCTGAACTCACGTGAATCTTCAAAGCTTTTAGTTAAACACATAATTAAATAATGAGTTTTCAAATCAATAGTAATTGAATGGTTTGTGCGAATCGATGGGACAGACACTTACGCAAACCCGTCGACTCGAGCCGAGACGCGCAGTTCACTGTATCGCCTATGGGTTCAAACAAACACACAATAACTTCACTGAAACACTAATATACTGTACGGTATGGCATAGGAATGTCCACCGAGACTCACCAAACAGGCAATACCGGGGCATTTTGAGGCCTACTATGCCGGCCACTACTGGCCCGGAATGGATTCCTATGCGAACTTTGAGCTGTTGGTCCGGTTTGTGTCGGATCGTGAATGAGGTGACGGCTTCCCGTAATGATAGGGACATCCGTGCGATCTCTCGGGCGTGGAGGTCGCCGTTCCTCATCGGCAGACCCGATGCCACCATATAGGAGTCACCGATGGTCTCCACCTGTGGGCGCATACGTGTCATCAATACTCAGACATACCATCAATCAATTTAAATATTATATTACATATGGTTATGAATTTATGTTGAATGAAGTATTGTGGTCTAGTATGTAATATTGGGCAATTAACAAGGACAGTTATAAATCATTTGTATTTATATAAATTATAGCCATCATTACATTTCTTAACGATAAGATTTATGACTAGCATAGTATATTAGACTATTTGATCTTGTTTAATATTTGTGAGCACTAAAATATGCAAATTCAAAACTTTTTTCTTACTATTATTATAATTTTAGACTTTTTTCTCAAAACTCGTCTGAATATTAAGATCAAAGCAAGAGATGTGACATAAATGCAAACCTTATAGACGTCATAATTGCCGACAATAGAGTCGAAGCAGATGTAGAGGTCGTTGAGGAAGTCGATCACTTCCATGGCTGTGCTCTGAGCGGACAGACCCGTGAAGCCGACGATATCACTGAAGAAAATGGTGACCGTATCGAAGGCCTCGGCCGCCACCGACTCGCCTTTGATCAGTTGACTCGTCACATACCTGTCCGCACGAGTATAGGTCAGTCATAGAACTCATTACACCATTTGGTGAGACCATTGACAGACATTTGGGTGGGAATTGAATGGAAGTGTTGATTACTTTGGCAACAGTTGGTAGAGCAGGTCCTCGGCTTTACTCTTGGCGTCCAAGTAGTCGGCGGTTCTCTCCTCCACCTATTCATCAGTGGTTGTGTCCATTGGTAGTGGTGTCGAGCCATACAAATACAGTAATATATGATCATGTAGTGGACAGACAGGTGTAATGGATAGGGAGACATACGAGTGCTTCCAAGTTATTGGCGTATTCTTCCATCTTATTGACGAGATTGTCGAGAATGGTTCCGCTCTCGCAGTTCCTGTCAATCAATTTGATACCACTTTCAATAAGTGACTCCGGGTATTAGCCAACATTACCAGCAATTGTATGCAATGCCGTGTTTTACGATTAATCATAATTTCAAATCTAATTCATGGGATCGACCCATACGTTTGCAGACTAACAAATGTGCACAAATATTTATCAATTTGTTAAAGTGTTTTACTATTTAATAACACAGAATCTCTGGAATCTGTTTCATAATTAAACATTTTCCAAATAGATTTGATTTTTAGATTTTTGTTTGTAAGTAAAAATATGTTCACTTTTTCATTTACAGTTATTAACTATTGTCTCGATATATAACTTTTGAATTTTTATTTCCATAGAATCTACATATTATAGATATTTTTTATAAAATAATAAATTTCAAAATGTCTAATTTAAAGATGAAACTTTTCTAGGAATATATATAATATTTTAAATATTGAAGGAATTTTTATTTAATTTAACATATATTTTCCTTTTTTCTTTTATAAAAAATGTTTTTTAATATACAAAATATACCGGTATATATATTAATATTCTTTAACATTTTTCTAGCTTAATATTATATTAAATAAAATAGAAACTATAATTTGAAATAAAAAATTTAATAAATAATATAGTAAATGCATACAAATATATAACTCAAGAATATTCTATAGTTTCAATATTAAAGGAACAGTATACATTACTATAATAAGCATAGAGATTCTGTATTCTATATTCTGTTTGATATTTTAAGAAAATCATTATTCAGACTCCACGCAAGACAAATATTTGTACTTGATTAGTTTACTTTATACTACAGCCAATTAAATTTAATTGTAAAATATAATACTAAATAAAATGTTTAATGTAAGGATTTGTAAATTATTTTTAGCCTTTTGAGAATAAAATCAAATATTTGCAATCATACGATAGACATGTTATGATATGGAAATGTAGGTTATTTATAGAATTGTGTATCCGTTATGTCAATTCAAGAGATATTGAATATATTGCGGTTATGAATATATTTTACTATTGTATACACTGTATACAGTACTATACAAAATTCATTCGCTATGCATTTTATTTTACAAAAGTTTATTGTTTATTTAATTAAAAATTTATATAGTTTATTTATACAAAATGTGACGTTTTATACGAGTAATTAAAAGATAATACGAGTGATTATGTCTTAACACAAAAAACTAAGTCTCTTTTTGTTGTATTTTGATCACAAAAGATACTAATACTAAAATGCATACAAATATATAACTCAAGAATATTCTATAGTTTCAATATTAAAGGAACAGTATACATTACTATAATAAGCATAGAGATTCTGTATTCTATATTCTGTTTGATATTTTAAGAAAATCATTTATTCAAACTCCACGCAAGACAAATATTTGTACTTGATTAGTTTACTTTATACTACAGCCAATTAAATTTAATTGTACAATATAATACTAAATTAAATGTTTAATATAAGGATTTGTAAATTATTTTTAGCCTTTTGAGAATAAAATCAAATATTTGCAATCATACGATAGATAGACATGTTATGATATGGAAATGTAGGTTATTTATAGAATTGTGTATCCGTTATGTCAATTCAAGAGATATTGAATATATTGCGGTTATGAATATATTTTACTATTATATACACTGTATACAGTACTATACAAAATTCATTCGCTATGCATTTTATTTTACAAAAGTTTATTGTTTATTTAATTAAAAATTACTATAGTTTATTTATACAAAATGTGACGTTTTATACGAGTAATTAAAAGATAATACGAGTGATTATGTCTTAACACAAAAAACTAAGTCTCTTTTTGTTGTATTTTGATCACAAAAGATACTAATACTACAAAGGGCTGAGATAAGCAATTTAGTCGATANTATAGTTTATTTATACAAAATGTGACGTTTTATACGAGTAATTAAAAGATAATACGAGTGATTATGTCTTAACACAAAAAACTAAGTCTCTTTTTGTTGTATTTTGATCACAAAAGATACTAATACTACAAAGGGCTGAGATAAGCAATTTAGTCGATATCCTGACAAAATAAATGGTTTATTGATTTCTCGCACACAAAGGAAGTTAACTTCAAAATCGACGATCAAATAATTTGAGGACTTTTTGGCACACACTATAATATATAATATATATCTGGTTATAATATATATCTGGCGATTAATTCTGGATAATTCCTGTTTTAATAAAGTACTGTTAATCTATTAAACTGCGAGAATACTAGTACTGTATAAGAATAGTAGTATAATACACAACTTGAAATGTCAGAGTAGAAACTAGCAAGTACAAACTCTAGTATAATAAACTAAATTTAGTACTGTATGATTTAGTATGTTGGTGACAACTTGCCAGTGGCTAAATTTGCATTGATTCAATTTGATAACAATAAAATTCAATTTCTCACTTGTTTTTCAGTTGTTTTATAATTGGTTTCAGCGTTTGAAAGTCAGGTCTGTCGCCGATGTCTTCGCACAGATTGGCGTGAATTTGCAATAATATGTTGTCTTCGCTGTCGTTGTCTTTATCACCGCTTTTAGTCCTACTATTGGCTGAGTTTGGCTCACAATTCACGTCTAGCTTTGAATCTGTTTAATAATTTAAAATTTCAATTCATTAATATTGATGTGATATATTTATAGAATTCATCAAGTAATCTATTTGTAATTTTGAAATTTTCAAACTTTTTAGGATTTCACATATCAATTAATCAAACTGAATTACTGTTACATTGAAGGCTTTTTAAAAATTATTTCAATTTATGATTTTGCAATTCAATCCTATATTAGATACTAATTCGTGTATTTCTATTGAAAATTGCAAATATAGTAAAAAGGATTCCGGTTTAATGGTCTACTATTTCTAAGAATTTTGATATTAGGACTAAATATAGAAAAATACTAATAAATAAGTTTTAATGCAACGGAACTTTCATTGATTGAAATGCTCTAAGGATTTCATATAACACACTTTTATATTAAATAAGTTTCTTACAAATACTTTGAATTCTGGCTGTAGAATGAACAAGCACATGATTGTAGGGAATTCTTAATCATTTATTTAAACAATTATTCTTTTTAATTATCAAACAATAAGTTTTTATTTACGTTATTTAGTTATGTTTGTTATAATATATTAGTATTTTAAAAGTTTAAATATTGTTTTTTATGTAATTTTAATATTTAATTTGTAATCATACCAAGTTTGGGAATAGGTTTATAATACAAACAGCTTTCATGTGTGTGTGTGCTTTTAAAATTTGCTATTTTAAAGTTCAAAATAATATTTGAAAAATAAATACATTATTGTGCTATTTATAAGAATTTGTGTTATATTTTTTATAAATATCAAATGTTAAAAACAAAATTTTTTAATACTTGAATTTCCACGCTTTTAATAGGCAATTGCAAAGTCTAATGGAAACACTTTATGTTAGTAATGGTTGAGATTAAATATCCAAACCCCATTTCAAAATCACAGTGGCCAATATTTATTACAGAATCAAACTTTCAAAATGAAACTTGATAATATTGACAGCAAATATCAAAGTAGAGCACACAAAGTGTACCATCATACTTTAATAGAGTCACGTTAACCGTTCACTTTTCCAACATTATTAAACTAAGTTACACGTAAGTCTATAAATTATGATTTAAGATAGTGATTTTAGAAAATGCTCTGGGCTAACACACAGACACACACACACTGATCGAAATATTGATTTATTGGCGCAAAGATTGTCTATAAATTATGGTTAGAGTGAATATTAAACTTCATAACTTTCATAGGCATTTGCTTGCTTAAATCATTCACGTATACAGCGATGTAAAGTAGTGTGCAATACATATATTGTCTATAAATATTTATATACGAGTTCATCAAACAAAACCACTTGAAATCGATAAAACATATTAAAACTCTAATGGCTTTTATATGTCATCCGTATTTTGAAAAGTTTTTATTTTGCTTTGCATTGCATTTAAAAATCAATTAATTTCCAATATTTAACTAATTTTATATAAAATGCTTCAAAATGTTGACATTCATTAAAATTTATTTAAATAATTAATAAGTTTTACACAGCCATAAGCTATTTAATAGATAATGTAATATTTGAATTAATAATTAATTAGTAAATAATAAATAGATGCATATTTTATAGGTGCACCTTGCGCTAAACATAAAATTCTGAATATTTGACTATAAGGTACACTTAAATAGTGGAAGTCCATGAAATCAGTCGTATTCCGGCTAAAGTTAATCTCAAGAATATTCTCATTCAATGCTCCAAAGAATCGAGAAGTCATTTATATTTATTTTCATTTGTAACTTATAATAGAATATCATATAAAAACACATATACCGTAATAGTAACAAGTTCATTTTTGTTATATTTGTGTTGAAATAGTAATTTTGATGTTAGCTTATGGAGAGACAGTGCGACAGCTATTACTGACTGCATTTGACTTGAATATGAGAGACTATGTCTTCTTGACGGTCGAGCTCTTCAAACATCACAAATCATTTGGCAATTTTAATTGGTATGTGGCCGGGGATCCCAGGAATCAGGTTATTATAATATATTATACACTTTAAATTGGGGATTTAAAAAATTAAAATTACAAAAATTGCATTACTTAAATTAAATAAATCACAGTTAATAATTTAAATTAAATAAATTACAATACTTAAATTGAATAAATTAATCATGACAGGTGCTTAGAAATCATATTACATACAGAATTCAATGATATTTTAATCAATATTTTCAAAATACATTATCAATGCTAAAATATAAATTACATAAATTACTGTAATTAATTTTTAATCCCTACTGTTCATAAATTAATCCATACAATAATAAGTTACAATTTATCATAGTAAATTTTTAAATGATTAAGGTTATAAAAATATCTCGATTCTTATAATAGATTTAAATAATATTCTTATAATAAATGTCAGTAATTCTTTAATATTCAGGTAATTATTGTTTTTATAAAAGGATGCAAAAGTGATGTATGAGTCCCTAATGGTGCTGACAGTACACGTGCCGACCACTGATGACTACGACCTCTTCACCAAACAAGTGATCGAAAAGTCTCGAAATGAGTTCAACACCTCTTTCAATAAGAGTGATGTGAATGTAGTTTTGGCCGGTTTTCACGACTCGGTCCTACTCTATGGTCAGGCACTCACCGAAACTCTTGAGGACTCCGGTAACCCTTTGGACGGATACTCTATATCACGACGTCTGTGGAACCGATCGTTTTCAGGTTTATTCTTTGAACACAACTTTATTTTAAAGTTTTTATTTAAATTGATTTATCGTTAATTGTATTATAAATTGAAGACTTTCTTAGTGGCGATCATTATATCGATGAAAACGGCGATAAAGAGACTGATTATACACTCAATGATTTTGATATAATATCAAATCAAATGAAAGTAATTTAAATTTAGTATTTTGCTTATTTAAAGCTAATTATTTTTAACAATTTTCAGCCGGTTTTATATTATTCCGGACTTTACGATAAGATTGTATTGTCCAATACGAGTGCAATTCATTGGCCCAATGGATATATACCTGACTCGAGAGCACCGTACTGTCAATTTGGAGATTACCCCGAGTGTAAACCAGGTTTATGAAATCTAAACAAGGTTTATCTAAATATTACTTATACTAATATTTGGTTAATAACATATAGATTATAGTTTCGTTATATACGTTGAGATACTTGGCATAATAGTCACCTTTTGTGCAATCATTACAATTGTATTTTTCGTAATCTATAGGTAATTAATAATCAATAGACAATTATATAGTGAAAAATTGTGTTCAATAATTATGGTAATGAATGCATTTTCAAGAAAACTCAAATTGGAAACAGAATTGCAGTCAAACTGGTGGACAGTTAAGTGGAATGACATCACATTTATTGAAAATAGCGACAAATCTTTAGAAGCGAGTCCTCAGTTTAATTTGATGCGAGGTCAGTTTGAAAGTAACCCTCAATCAACGGGAGACCACAACAAATTAAACCTCACTACCTATAACTGGCACATTAGTGCCAGGGCTGGTGATCCCACTCACACTCATATTCCCAGAAAAGGCTTATATAAAGTAATTGTATTTAAATTGTCACTATTTAAACAATTGATAAAATTTTTTATTCCTAACTACTTTAAATAATGATAATAATAATACAGGGCATTAAAGTCTCCATAAAACCACTTAACATAAGACATTTGGCTATAAATCGAGAGATATTATTGGAGCTAAAAGTGATCCGCGATTTAGTCCACGAGAATCTGATTCGTATGATTGGTTTGTGTCCCGAAGAGCCCTTCATTAGCAGTAAGTTTTTAGCAGTCATTTAGTCTTTAATTTTAATATTTTTATTAATTATTAATTATTAATTATTAATTTCTATGTATAGTATTGACTGAATATTGCGAGAAAGGAAGTCTTCGGGTAATACAGAGTATAGAAAATATACTGAAAATTAAAGTTTTATATATGGACCAGGAATTACTGGACAATGAGGGCATACGCATAGACTGGCCGTTCAAATATTCACTGATCAGTGATGTGGTCGAAGGCATGCATTATATACACGAATCTCCACTTAATTTCCATTCAAACCTCAAATCATCCAATTGTCTGATTGACAATAGACTTGTTGTTAAGTTAACTGATTTTGGTTTTCATACGATTAGAAATATGAGCAGGCAAACAACTAACCATAACATTGATCACAGTAAGTTTGCAAATGAATATTAAAAATAGTACTCAATTATATCTAATAAACAAAGAATATTCTGTACAAAGAATCGCTTTTATGGACAGCACCGGAACATTTGAGGTCCAAGTTTACGTTACTTGAAGGGTCTCAAAAAGGTGATATTTACAGGTACACTATTCATACAAAGTATGAATTATCATAATTTTCCAGGCTTATAATTATAATAAACTTGTAAACTGAATAACTAGTAATATTGATTACTAATGAAAATACAATTTAGTTTCAGTATTGTATTACAAGAAATAGTGACCCGAAGTGAGCCATTCGCCAGTGTGTCCGTTGTGTCCACTGACGGCACCTCAACAGTCGTATCACTCGACCCGCAAGCCATTTATCAACATTTAAGAGCCGGTGGTGTCGTTCCCGTCAGGCCTTACGTCGAGCAAAGCGAATGTCCGCAAGAATTGTATGAACTGATGATCCAGTGTTGGGACGAATTACCCTCTAATAGACCATCGTTTCCAGCGATTAAACAATTGCTGAAAAAGATAACAAAGTTTGTGTTATTCATTACACTCTTTAATGAAGTGTATTGGTTTTATTTGCAACTAGCAATAAAATACAACTATTCTCACCATTATCTTTAACATGACTGTTGACATTCTGCTCAAGAATTTTGTCATTAAAAGCAGAAATCAAAGAAATTAATGAGATATTATCCAAATTATTATCTGCTATTCAATTGTATACAATATTACTGTATTATGCTTTGACAGAGACATCGGGAGCGCCAACTTTCTGGAGAACCTACTGTTGCGAATGGAACAGTACGCCAATGATCTCGAAATAATGGTCGACCAAAAGACATCCGCTTTCTTTGAGGAGAAACGCAAATGTGAACAACTCTTAT